ATGTATGTCTTTTATAGGCATCACTATCAAGTATATATAATTTTTTAATGAGAAAAAAACAAAGAAATTGCATTGCTTTTAATGACAATCTGGCACAAGAAAAATCAGCAATAATTGATTCCATTTAATGGATAACATGAATATATAGGTGGATGGTAAATACGTAAAACGCATATAAGATGTATATCATAACTGTTCTTACGAAAAATATGTATGCATGTCTAAGCCAGATTATGCTCGTCGACCTCCATGAAACTTGATTGATAACAAGTATAGGAATGAATTTCAAATTAATATGTTCATGATTTTTTTTTTTTTTTAATTCCAAACTAGATACTTAAAAAAGTTTTTGTGAAGATTTACCGATAATGATACTAATAAATTAATAGATCTTTAAAAGTTATAGGTTAACTATTTTTCTTGTTTAGAGCTATAAGTGGCATATCTAATCCACTTTTGTATTCATCTACTCATAAATAAACAAAGAAAAAGCAAGAGGGAGAGATTGGAAAGTGAGGTTGTCAAATAGATAGAAAATGACTAAATAAGGAAAATGATAGACTGATGGTTCTAAATTTAAGAATATTGGGTAGGTGAGATGTATATCGATTGTAATTCAAACGAAAATGTTCCCATTCTAAAACCCCATGTGGCATCAAGTCATCAACACCACATCTCTCTCTCTCTCTCTCTCTCTCTCTCTCTCTCTCTCTCTCTCTCTCTCACACACACACACACACACTCACAATAGTCATTGATGAAAAAGAATCAAAGTTCGAATTTTGATGAAATGTGTTTTGATTTATAAGCATTTTGATCATGTTAAGTGATACAACAAATTTGCCTAAAAGTAACATCGTAAAGCAAAAGAGAAAAAGAAAAGAGCACGATTAAGTAATTAAGTTGTTTTTGAATCTTGATAAATCTAAGTGAAAGTGATTGCAACGAATATTTATGTCATGAAAGGGTCTTGTGATAAATATGCGAGCATGTGAGAGAGGAAGAAGGCGAGTTCTACACGTAAAGTAAAACTTGAGGTAGGTAGCTAGTTCATTGAACCTGACTACAAGCAGCTTGCAGCTTACACCCAAGTGGATAAGACCTTGAATGTATGCGTTCACATGAAACTAATTATAGAAACAAAATCTACCAAGCAAATTAAACACTTGCATTATCTTTCATTTCTGAATCTGAGTCTAAAACCGTGACTTCTTCTCTCTGTGTGCTTGTGTATTAGAGTATGCAAAGTCACGAGCATACATAAGAGAAAAGTAATGCGGCGGATGCTTTTAGGGTTTAGTGAGATATAGAGGTATAGAACATTTGAACGCTGCTTTAGGGAAAATAAAAAGAACAACGTTGTATATAGCGTAGAATTACTAAGCTTGAAAACAAATAAATTAAGTATCAGTGTTGTTTATTGGTTGTTGATGATGAGACGAAATGAATAGATATACTGAAGAAGTAAAGTACCTGGTTGAATAGGTTGTTGATTTTGTAAGTGAGGTGTTACCATCGTTGACGGAGGAGGTAGAGCTGAGTAATTGGGGATGAAATCACCGTAAACATCATCCGCAACAGTTGCACCTACGATCTGATGATGAGGATGAAGGTTAGAGGTAGTGGACCACTCGTGCCTATAGCTACTACTTTGACTTTCATGGTCACGATCTACTTCTTCCCTGTAGATGATCTCATCACCCTCATGCTCAGGCTTCTGCTCCCACATGGAACGTCCACTATCCATGTCTTCTTCGATGATCCACTTTCAATTACTAAATTTTCTGGAGTAAAATTAAATTTAGAAGGTTGAGAACCTGGATATGCTTATACTAGGTTGGGGATACTATCGGTGAAGATAGGTGCATCAAAATTATATGAAACATCTGGATCTCCTTCGATTTCAGTAGCACAAAGAGGTGCATATAAATACTCACACACGGCTACTGGTCTCCTTCAATTTATTCAATGGAGGCTTTCATCAAACCTAAAACTCAAATACCACTTTCCTATTTTATATATATATATATATATATATATATATATATATATATATATATATATATATTATATATATATATATATATATATATATATATATATCCGTCTACCCGCGCAAAGCGGCGAACGGCGAATAATTTGATCTCTTTAGAGTTAAAACCATTTTACGTTCACTTCGAGAAATGAATATTAAATGATATCTATTTTTTAAGAGCATTACCATATCATATTAACGAGGTGTTTGGCTAAGCTTTTTTAAAACATCTTATTAGGTTCCACATCACTATAAGTTAAAAAAGTGTTTGGATTAAAATAACTTATTCCGGTGGGGAACCTCTAATACTTCATTTTTTCATAAATTACCCTACACTTACTTATTAACTTATAAGCTAATAAACTAATAAACAATAAGTTGTTTTGCCAAACACCCCCTAAATGGTTATTATTTCCATTTATACATACCCAAACCACTTGTACTGTTTATCGTCCTTTTTTTTTCGTTTTCCTTAATCCCTTTATTAATTTAATGTCCTACTATGTAAAATGCTAAAATATATAAATAATAGTTTATAAAAATAAACCTTTAGAATATCAGGTGTTGTGATTCAAAAGTCGATAAATAGGTCTTTGAGAAGACCAAAATGCTCAGGTGTCAACTTGTTCATTGTGATTTTAAACCAAGTTTGGTCACAAATTAAAACATTTTCAAAGATGGTATGTAATTCAAGGAATCATATTGCTTTAAGTTCTCGAAACCTTAAAATATTGAACAAAATCTATATAGAACCTTATAATAAAGACAATAATCACCGTAATCAGGAAGTCCGTGTGATGAAACTTGATATTATAACGACCAATGATGAAAAATGTTTCATTTTTAGACTAAACAAGATGAAAAATATACAAACTTGGTTGAGTTCTTTAAACCTGCAAAGCCAACACATTAAAGAAACATAGTAAAAACCTTTTTAGGAACAAACCTGATATAATAAAGACTTCACCCAATATATTTATAAGATAAAAATACAAAAAGTTAAAAATGATGAAATCAATTACAAGTAAGGATTAAAATAAAAACCTATTAAAAAAAGAGTCATCTGCAAAAAGGATATTTGAATCAACATGTATTTTCTGATGGTTTCAAATTTTGAATTATCCGAAATTCAAGGAAGGAGATAGAATTTGTTGAGAAATATAAAGATTCAAAACACAGGTTAAAATTTAATATTATTTTATTGATGATTACTTGTACTACTAGCTTAATGACTTGAACGTCTTAAAAAAATAATATTATTATATTCAATCTATTTTTAAAAATAGTGAGATTTCTTTTATAAGATAGTATATATATATATATATATATATATATATATATATATATATATATATATAGAGAGAGAGAGAGAGAGAGAGGAGGGTTCAATTGAGAAAAAAAATGTTGAGAAGGGGAGAATCATTCTCAACCAATCATTTAATTAACATTTTAACTTAAAATACACGGTGGCAAACTTGTAAATATGATATGATATCCTTCAATCACAGATATGTAATTGTGGATAATTTAATAACAATTCAAATTTATTACTACTCGATCGTTCATCATCTAAATTTCTTCTCCAACGTTCAATGATCATCCATATTTCTTCAATTAAATCATCAATCAACATCATGTAGTGTTAATCAATCATCCATCTTCGTCTAAAACATGTTCATCAACATCATTCAACAGTAGACACTACAAGAAAAAAGGCCTTTTACGACGCTCATTGCGCGTCGTAAAAGGCTCAGACGACGCGCAAATGCGTGTCAAGGAAGGCCCTGTCATAAAGAGAGACGACGCGCTTTTGCGCGTCGTCTATAGACGACACGCATTTACGACACTCATTTACGACGCGCAATTACGACGCGCGTTTACGACACGCAATGCGTATCAAGGAAGGCCCTGTCATAAAGGAAGATAACACGCATTCGCGTGTCGTAACCTTACGACGCGCGTGTTAATGACACGCAATGCGTATCAAGAAAGCCCCTGTCAAGAAAGGTCATGTCATAAATGAAGATGACACACATTTTTGCGTATCGTAAATTTAAATGTTTAAAAAAAATAAATTTATATATTTATTAATTTTTAAATTAAATTTTCATTTAATTTCTCATAATAGAAATAAAATACCATATACAAAAAATACAATCCATTGCATAATATAAAATAAAATTTCATACTCAAAAAATAAAATAAATTACACAAATTGTAATGTCATACAAAGAATCATTCAAATGTTAAACAAAAATAATACATTGCTAACATGGGTTATACATTCCTATAAAACTAACAAATAATCATACAACTCTATTTCTTACTGGAAAGGAATGTCAAACATGATTACAAGTCTCCCTTAATCTTGATTACTCACCTGCTTAAGTAGAATGTTGTTGTTGAGAAGGTTACCTAGCAACAGAGAAAAACACAACACCTCTCCCACAATCACAACATCATTTACAGAAAGGGTTGTCAATTACTTTCATTAAGACTTTCATTCAATCACAAAAATATTAAATAAAAGGGTGAAACAGTAACTTACTTTTGATAAGTTGATCTCCCTTAGAGCAAACACAGCTAAAGCATTGAACAAGACCCTATTTCCCTCTTCTTTTAAAGTTTCCAGAATGTTTAGAATGCTCTCCTTACCTTGTTATTTGAAGTGTCGGGGGGGAAAAAGTCCTCACTTTTGGTTCCCTATCAGATGCAGCATCAAGAACAGAGAACATGATCTCACCAAACATAATCAATAATCAGATTGAATTATATATTATGAGTAAGTAATAAAGTACATGTAACACAATAAAGTATTATTATGGAACTTATGAGTTCAAATATTATTTTTTACACTCAGATGCCAAAATATTTTATGTTATTCTTCTACAAGTTGAGAACCAACTCAAACATGAAAGATAATAGTCCATCTGGCAACTTTTGATGACATGGCAAATGAAATTTCTCAGAGATAGAATAATACCTGTACTATTAAAATGATGGCAACCACAACAGGTGGTCCAATAACTACAGCCAAAAACATGCCTTTAATCATGTCTGGAAAGAAAAGAAAGATTGTTTGCTGCAATCATAAATCCCATGTGTTACAAACTTATATCCAAAAGAACATAACATAATTGAATTCCATTTTTTGTAGAAACAAAACATACAATGAAATGGAATAGAGAACTCCGATTCCATTGTAATTCATACCAGGAAAATCGGCATAGAAAGCGGTCATTTAATGCATAAAAGTTCTGAAAAAGTTGACCTGAAAAATTTACAAAATAAATTATTAATTATTATATTATCTTACCAAACAGAAATGTTATCTTAGATACAGATACAAAGTTGGTATGCATATATTAAAACAAAAGTACAGCAAGATACTCGGAAAGAAAGGATATTCAACAACTGTTACTTATGCTACAATTACTACATAATCATCAAAAACTTGAATCTTGAAAGCTTCTACCTGATAGATGATTAAGTACCATTAACGGGCTAAATATTGTTGATTAGGGGAATGAAATTCATATTGCTTAAGAAGCTGTCTCTTCCTTTTGGTAGAATTTGATGATTCTAAAATGAAAACCCTAAAAGAAAAATACAAATAATTCTAAATAAGAAACTATTCTTTAGAAAATTAGAAAACTTAATATACTAAAAACTAATTTCTTTCATTCCCATTCCATTTGTTTTCTGATTCCATCATACTAAATAGTACATAACAAAGATACAAATATTAATCAAGAAAAACAAATATAAAAATTTAATCATACATGATATTCTCTACTTTAGAAGTATCAAACATTGCATGGCCAACCACTTTCACCTCCACCTTCACATTACCATTCCATTCCCATCTGAAACTTATTCAAAACACATAAGAATCAACGTTTTCCTTCACATCTAAATCAACTTGATCCTTTACATCATAAGGTGTCACCCAGAACAATAAAAGCAGGATTACAGTCAATGTTCTGGTTTTTAAAACCAAGGTAATCGGACCCAGAACATTAAAATATGCAATTAACTTAAAGTAGAGGTGTTTAAAATAAAAAATCAGATCAACATATGTGGGTGAAAGTCTAGAATTATCATATATGTCAAAACAAAAATACTAACTGAAGCATAAATCAGATGATGAGGGAATACCCCTCACATAGACATAGTAGAGAGACCCTTAATTAGGAAAAATGAAGACTTAAGCTTATGAACTCGAAATCCAAACATAGTTGCTTACAATAAGGAGTACTCCTCGCACACTAATGGGGTTCCTAAATCATACAATTAATCTCATAAATTAAGCTAGATGCAGATGGGGTCATTAAATTGAACAAACCTTATCAAAAGTATTCTAAAATCAAAGAGTAATGAAAATGGGCGAGACCTGTTGAGGCGTCAACCTTCTGTGGTCCCTCAAATCTTCTTAATTTACCATGAAGCCCATCCTAGGTTGACTTTTCTGAAATAGGTAAAAGTAATTTATTAAGAAAACAAAATGAAGCGATGATAAAATACAGATAAAACCATGATAACATAATAGAATAAGTCATCTAGGCATTTAATCAAACACCTGGTGGGCGGCGGCCAAAACAACAAACATGTCAGTATTATCTCCAAATCCTCATGGATTTTTACCGTATCAACGGTATTTGGAAATGGAACAGAACAATACTAATGAATTTAATTGGAGAAAATTGAAAGAATATGATGATTTAGTGATTATACAGGGGTAGAGTAACAGATGAGGACCGGGTATGAGGCCGGACCATTAAAGACATAGAACCTTTCAACAATGGCAAGTGTTAACAACCATCGCACCTATCGATCTACAGGTCCAGAAATTCGAAGGTCAAGGGAATCTAACTGAATCCGCCAAGAAAGTGACATGGATGGAGTAGGACAATCGATTGAACCTAAACCTTCAAACCATCAACAAAATCAACCATATTGCAGGCGATCGTTGAGGATACAGAGGTGGTTAGATCCGACAATGGAACATAGAAGACGTAGACGAAAGCAGAAATTTTCCATCTCCAATTTCAAAATTTTGACGCCCCTTCTTGAGTTGACGTCCCTCTGCCAGAAAAAAAAAACAAAAAGAAAAATCATTTATGATGGACACGTAGCAAACGAAGATGGAATTGGGAGCAAACAAAGATGGAATGGAAGGCGGTGGTGGAGGAGATGAGTAGTTGAGACGGCAACACCACCATCAACGTTGGGAGGAGACATACCAAACAGACGGACGGTGAGAAGGTTGCAATCTTAGAGTGTGTCGATGTTGCCTGCTATTGCCCTAGAAATGGAATTCAATTATGTGTGTGTGTGTGTGTCTAATAATCATGAACCTCCAGCTCTCCGCTGTCTTCTTCACCTTCTCTCTTGGCACCAAACTTCACTATTTCGGTCGCACAATTCTCCACGGCGGCGCCAAATACAGAGCCACCTAACCATCTCAATGTGGTTCCTAGTCGTGTCGTGGCTGTTCGCCCCTTTTCTTTTCAACCCATCCGGATTTGAATGGCAGAAAATCGTTGAAGACTGGGACGACTGGTCAGCGTGGATCAGAAACCACGGTGGAATCGGTGTTCCGGCGAACAAAAGCTGGGAATCGTGGTGGGAGGAAGAACAGGACCACCTCCGATTAGGGCTTTTTCTAACAATTTCAACATCGAAGAAACAATGAAGAACAGGACCACCTCCGATTAGGGCTTTTTCTACTGCTACTTCTTCACCATCTTCTATTTTTTCTGTATTTAGACTTGAGAGTATAATTAGGGCTTTTTCTAACAATTTCAACATCGAGTGGGAGATATGGTGGTTCCAGTAGGTAGAAGTGAGGGAAGAAGTAAGCAGCAGTCAATGTCGGGAGGGGGAAGGAAGGAGCGTCCAGGGCAAGAGGGAAAGGAGAAAAAAAAGGAAGGCGGGATTTTTAATTTTTTCAGAATTTCATTTCCCCCTACTGTTAAAGGATGGAACGCGCGTTCCATTAAAAATTATAAAGCGACATCCTTAGACGACGCACATTTTATTATAGGTGCCCTTCGTGTTTTTTTTAGACACTGATTTAAGGGCGCGCAATAATGCGTATCTTCTATCCTTAAATTTTTTGAAGAGATGACATTTTTCTAATGTCACTCTCCTTTGCGTAACATAGATCAATGAGCGTCGTATTTTGCGCGTCGTAAAAGGCCTTTTTTCTTGTAGTGAGACCAAAAAAAAATTGTTTTCGGTTCCTTCAACTATGCTTGAATACGATAAAATCTTCAACATCTACGATTAATTTTACTCCCAGTATCATCAGATCAATATCATCGATAATTAACAGCAGTTTCACTTCATATCATTCATTCAACATCGATCATCAAACCAAACTTCGAAATTAAGGTTAGAAAAACATCAAATCATTTATTTTTGAAAAATTTCATATAATTCTCTATCAATCTACTAGTTTGTAAGTTTTAAATAGTCAAAGTATCATGTTTTGAGCATTTTTAAGAAAGCTTACTTGTATGCACTCTAACTGTTTGATGAAATGTATAAACTAAATTACCATGTTATATTCACATATGAATATGTTTCCGCACCTTAATCAGTATATGATTATTAAAACACAAAACAAATATACAATTTTATATGTTATTCATATGTGAATAACATACAAAAATTATATATATTTGTGAATATATCTTGTAATATGCATATGTTAATATCCTGTGTAATATTCATATGTGAATAAACTGTGTAATAATCACATATGAATATATCATCTAATATTCATAAGTGAATATAGCATCTAATACTTACAAGTGAAAATATTATGTAATATTCACAACTGAATGCATCGTTTAACATTTAAATATGAATATCATGTATCATATTCACAAGTGTATATATTATATATTATTTATATGTGAATATATTGTGTAATATTCATGAATGAATATATACCATGCAATATTTAGATGTGACTAGAATGTGTACTATTCACAAGTAAATATACCATATAATATTCACATGTGAATCTATCATATAATATTCATATGTAAACATACTATGTAATATTCATTTGTGAATATATCATATAATATCACATATAAATATACAATATAAACAACATATATCATATAATATTCACATATGATTATACCTTCATATGTGAATATACCATGTGATAATTAGAATGTGATAAATCGCTATTATTATGAACTAAAAGTATATTTTTAATATTTTATGTGTATTCATATGTTTTTCAGACATCGTTATAACTCGATAAAAGAATAACATTTCAACCAATGGTTGGTTCATATCTCGGTGGTTGACGATTGGTTGACGTAATTGAAAATATATCATTGACGAAGGCAATATATTTTTATATTCACGTGTAAATGTTATATAATTTAATATATTCTTCATTTTGATCGTATTAAATTCAAATACAAATGATATTCATTAACCAATACAATGTTGTTTATCTTAGTATAATGTTGATTTTACATATAAAATAATATTGTTACATTATACAAAAAAAAAACTATGCACAAACCAATTCTTAAAGTGTATTATTTATTTTTATATATAAAGGTTGTATTCACAAAATAAATAAGTCAACATGTATAGTTTATTCACATAAATAAAAATAACAGATTACAATAACGATGTTTTTACTAGTGGGATTGAAGTTAGTAACATCTATGAATAATGATGATGTCATCACTAGTAGGAATGAAAATTTAGTGACATCATCAAAACAATTTGCCGTAATGAAGTTTAGTCTCGGAATTGGACAAAATTCGCATATTTGATGTAAAATGGTGCGATTTACAAAACTCATAGCTTTGCCATGACGTACGGTGTTTTTCGGCCATTCGGGACGGTTTAGGGCCTCAAAATGATGTTTTTCTATATTTATAATTTTCTGAAGAGAAAAAAAGTTATCATTTATTCACAAATGAATATAACATTAATAAAAATATATATGCTTATATAATTATTTTATTAACCTAAAAAGATTAGTTTTATGTGAATAAATATATATTCTTATCAAATATTTTTTTATCTTTAATTTTATATATTTTGCAGTCCTCGGTTTTATTAACAGTTTTATTCATTTGTGAATAATACATATATATATATATATATATATATATATATATATATATATATATATATTCACATTTAATTATTATTATTATTATTATTATTATTATTATTATTATTATTATTATTATTATTATTATTATTATTATATATATATATATATATATATATATATATATATATATATATATATATTCATTTGTGAATATTACATACGTTTACATGCGGATATAATTCTTATATGTTATTCACATATGAATTACAAACTTACTTAGGACCTTAAAATGACGTATTACCTGTATTCATTTATGAATATTACTTGTATTCATTTGTGAATATTACATGTATTCGCATGTGAATATATTATTCACATATCAATTACATAGTTACTCTGTGTTTTTAAAAGATATACATTGATTCTCGTATAAAGGCATATTCACTTGTGAATATTACGTGATATATTTAGTTTATGCATTTCATCGAACTGTTGGCGTGCAAATAAATTAACTTATATAACCATGGTAAAAAAATTCACAATTGAAGCCAATAATTACAAAACAAATCAAATACTATCAAAACAGATTAATAATCAATAGGTTTATATCAAAATTTGTGAAAAAAAATGTATAAAAAACGAAGTTTTTCAAACTTGAAAAACGATTTTTTTTAAAAACTTCAAATATATGGTTATGTTGATGAACTTTCGATTGCTACCTGTTGTTTGATATTGGAGAAGGTTCCTTTGATGAAGTTTTGATGATCGGTGATTACTAAATGATGTGACATCGATAAATGTGGATTATTTTAATGATTTTGCTTGATGTCAACGAAACTGGACAAGATTGAATCATGAGTTACACTTAATAGTACAAATAAATGTTTTTAATGACAAATCACAACATTTTGATGAATAAACGAAGATTTTTGATGAAGAATTGATGTTTTTATGAAGTGTCGATTTCTTTTTTTATGAAGAACATGTGATTTTGATAGCGAATAAGTAGTAGAACGTATGATGTTGATGAAGAACACAGAGGAACAATCGAGATGAATGAATAACAGATGGTGTTGATGAAGAACAGATAAACGATCCAGAAGAAATGGTATCTGTGATTGAAGGTTAATAAATCATATTTACAAATTTGTCACCGTGTATTTTATGCTAATATGCTAATTAAATGATTGGCTGAGAATGATTCTCCCATTCTCAACCTTTTTTATTTTCTTAATTGTACTTACCTCTCTCTCTCTCTCTCTCTCTCTCTCTATATATATATATATATATATATATATATATATATATATATATATATATATATATATATATATATATATAAGTTCAAATAGGAACCCGAAAAATTAAGAACCATTTAATAACCAATTTCACTAAGGATATTTTTGCCATTCAAACAATAACACTTAAAATTAGATTTATACTCATTGTCTCTCAAAGTCATAAATTCACAGACTCTCATACTCTTAAACCTTTCTACCAACTTTCAAGAACACACAACCAACATTACATATCGCTGCTATTGGAGCTGCCATTGTCGATGCCGCCGTCACCACCGCCATTGACGTTAATTGAACGTCCATCTTGTCTTTCCCTCATTGCTACCCTACTATCGCCACCTCCCTTCTCTGTGATGGTTCCAAATTCTGAAAATAAGGCGACCACAACCTTTGTCGGTGACCACTACCACCATCGACGACTACAAAACAACACCGACAACTGCCACTATTTTCTTTCACACGGGATCTGGCCAGATGTTATGTTGATCTGAGTATTTAGTGATATTTCACAAAGGTTTTTTTTGCTACTATTTCATCATGTTGTCGTTGGATCCACTTCAGATCTTTTCTCTTATCGGTGTTGTCATTGTTAATCATAATTGCAACCTACAAGTGCTAATCTACTCAATTTTGTTCTAGAACTCTTGAACTCATTTTTTTTCTCTGGTAGTTCCGTTACCGTTAAAATCTCAGTCGTATCCATGCCAGATCTGTTTCATGAGCAACTCATCCCTCTCTCTAACTCGCCTCCATCTTTTTTATCTGATCTCTAGTCAAACACCACCAGATCGTCATCTCATATTTACAAATTTGTCACCGTGTATTTTATGCTAATATGCTAATTAAATGATTGGCTGATAATGATTCTCCCATTCTCAACCTTTTTTATTTTCTCAATTGAGCTTACCTCTCTCTCTCTCTCTCTCTGTATATATATATATATATATATATATATATATATATATATATATATATATATATATGAAAATGACTATGCACACACCTAATATAGTTGGAAGACTCGCATGAAAGTCATATTCTTGACTGACGCTTTAGATTTCCCTTTAAAATGAGCAAAATACGAATGTTACGATGCCTTAGTATTTGCTCGTATTTTTGAAGTTTCATCGTTAAAAGTTTTTATCTGATTTATCATTAATACCAAAAGAACATTGGCGTATAGTTGATAAGAAACAACCAGATAATATCATATCGACCGTAGCATATAAAGATATATTGTTTGAAAATTTCATTTTAAACACCTTAATGTTCTTGCCTTGTTATCATTTCATAAGTAGATCAGTCGGTATAACAAGTGTTATTACTAATGGATCTTATTTTTTAAAATTCATAATAATGATTATAAACATAAATATAAGCTATAATTAAAACATGGTAAAGATAACTTA